TGCCCCCTACACATAACATAATAATCCCCCCTGTTCCCTAGTGTGATTACCAAGGTCTGCAGACCTTACTAATCACTTTGTTTTCGCCCCGGAGCTCAGTGAAGAGCCAAAAGGAAGGGAGACAGATCAGCAGGAGCAGCTGCTCCCACGAGTCAGGTACGCGGTCTGAGACCGCAAGCCTGTCAGGAATTTCCACTCGCCAAATGCGAGCAGGCGAGTGGAAATTTTGAGCCCTACCCTGGTATGTATTTTGAGATAAGGATCTTAGACTGTTAATTCCTTAAGGGCAAAGGCACTTTTGACAGTATGAAAATGCATGGATGTACAGTATGCATTTTACACTGTGTAAATTGATGGTGCTAGATAAATGTTTGTAAAAAATAAAGAACTTAGACATGATGAGGCTCAGACTTCTGGATTTGAGGGTGGTTATAGTATTTGTTCTTGTTTTTTGCCTGTTGCCATCTGGAGCTGCACTGTGCGGCCTCTATAGAATAATTGTGGCTATTGTCTCTCAAATAATACACGCTAATATCTATTTGAAGATAAAAGCTGTCTCGTCTCTACCTCTTATATTGTGGCCTAACCAAGATGCTCACACACTGTCCAGCAACTGTGCAATATTTGCAGCCATTATCTCTAAAAGAATATAACCTAATGTTTATGTCAAGGTAAAACCTGCCTTATCACTCCCTCTTATATTGCTGCCTAACCAAGCTGCTTACATTTTTTTACAATTAACAATATTTGTGACTATTGTCTCTCAGATAATACACATGAATATTTATTGCAAAATAAAACCTGTCTTGTCTCTATTTGCTCTCTGTTCAAGTGCTCATGTACTGTCCTGGCACTAGCCAGGTTCTGCTGAATGCATACCTGAAGTATGTTTGAATGTTTTGGGAATTATTGGAGATCAGGAATGTGGGATTGTTTTTTTTTAAGTATTTTTCTGCACTCTGTTTTAACACTGTTAAAAAAGAATCTCAAAAACTATACTATTATGTTTTCTAACTGGCCAATTTGCAGGAATCTGAGGGCTTTAGCTTTATGAAGAGTATATTTTCTTTTTATTAGATCTGTTGTAGTTGCTACTTCTACCATTCAGTTCAGGCCTAGTTGAAATAAATCAAACTTGCGTGTCAATCAATTACACATCCAAAATATGTGATACCAAAATGCAGTGTTGCTGGTGATATCATACTGTAACACCATATGCAGCTTATCCTTTTCACTGCCACCAATGTCATAAATCGGCAGCAGTGGGCCCCTGTAAGCCCACTGTTTACATGTGTAAATCTGACTATTGACTTTACACTGGAAGTGATCTAGGTGGCTGCATAGCCACTTGATCACTTCCACAGGCTGGCAAACATGTGTCGTCACCCACCCAATGCCCACCATTGTGTTTCCAGTGCTCTGCTTCTCTAGAGTCTCTATAATCCTCTGATAATCCATAACCCAACCTGTCCAGCTATATTCTACTCTGCCTTTAGGCGATCCCTGTAGATTCATCATCCTATCCTGCCTCTACCTTACCGCTGAACTATTACTTTCTCAAAAAACATATTCCTACACAGCTAATATCTCTTATATCCCTTTTAGATTGTAAGCTCTCACGGGCCGGGCCCTGCTAGCCATCCTGTGATTGTATTGTCACTGTAACTGTAAGGCCCCATTCACACATGAATCGGCCTGCACATATAGCTCCGTGCTGCGTGCGGGGCCGTACCAAGCAGCTGCCGGGAAGGACAGGTGCTGCATGTGATTAGTACGCAGCCCCCGTCCTTCTCTATGGGGCTACACGGCCATACGCCCCCCTACGCTCACCTCAACTGCAGGTCCGTAGGGATGCGGGTTTTCTGGCCGGGACGCATACAGGATCCAATCCGGCGGCGTATGAATATGCTCACCAGCACCCCTACGGATGTGCAGGGTGGGCAAGCGTAGGGTGGCGTAAGGCTGCGTAGCCCCATAGATAAGTACGGGGGCTGCGTACTAATCACAAGCAGCACCTGTCCTTCCTGGCAGCCGCTTGGGACGGCCCCGCACGCAGCACGGAGCTGTACATGCAGGCCAATTCGTGTGTGAATAGGGCATAACTCTAATTGTATTGCAGCTGTAATTTCTTTCTTTATATTGTAAAGTGCTGCACAAACTGTTGGCGCTATATAAATCCTGTATGATAATAATAATTTGGGATTTCCTCACTTGCATAACAACAAGCAGGAAGGAGACAGAGTTAGTGGCAACTATGGAGGTAGGTGATGCATGCTGCATTAAAAAATTGGACAAAATTTGCATCTTGGCTTCTGTTGAAATGACAAATTTACAGAACTCAATGGAACCGATTCATGAAAAACTGGGGAAAAAAGGAAAATACGTATGTTTCTGGTAGCAAACACCTAGCATGACATCTATTCTGCCATACGACAGGTAATATTCTTTCCTTTCTCTATGACATCAGCCCTATTGAAGTAGACGATGTGCTGTTTTAAATATCCAGATCGAGTGTATTCAGAATAGACAAGCTGTGAAATAGGTAGAGTGTCTCGGGTTTCTGTTTAGTTACACCAATTGGCCAGACATTGTTAAACTGGGTGGGAAGAAGAGTTGATGAATTTATGTAGCAATCTCCTGGGCAGAAATCATTAACATGGATAAAGGGATTTCCTAAGAGTATAAATACCAGCACACGCCAAGCACTTACCAAGCTGTCCCTTAATGCATACATGCAAGCACAGGAAAACTTTTATTTTAACGATTCATTCCAGGCTGCCAGAAGACTTTGAGAAAACTTTTACAATTCATCTTTATTTTATCCGTCCTGTCTGGGGGAATGAGTTTCCAGGCTTTTGTAACAGCTGATACCTTTGTACCTTTAAATTCCGAATCTTCAGCTACTTTTCCCCTTAGGATGCATCACAGCACTGCGGAATATCTGCCTGTCAGCAATCACACGACTAATGTGGTTTCCACAGGTACTTTTGTATTATGAGTGATGTATTTCTCTTTTATATGGATACATAATTATGTAGCAACACAAGGTTATATATCCTGTTATTCCTTAATCATTTTCAAGCTATTTGACATTGATATGTAGTGAGTCTGTGCAAAGTGCGATCAAGTTTATGAAGTGCAGTAACCGAAAGCGACCAATGAAACTTCTCCTTTTAGAGCAGGCAGCTCCAACCCGGCTGCTGACCTAACTAGTTGGTTTACTGAACTTTCCACGGCGCTTCTTGCCTTTCTAACGAACCTATATGTGATAAAGAAATGCTGATAGTGACAACTAAAAATGAACGCAGTTAACTTCTCAGTCATTACTAAAATGATAATAGGATATGAGGAATGCTGTTAACATCATTATCATGAGGATAGAAAATATTATGAAAAAGAAAAGGAAAACTGTACTATATATAAAACACTAATCAATATGTAAAAATATATCACTGGAATGTAAGATCCTCTGG